AAGCTTTCTATCATCGATTTCGCCATGGATTGGCAGAATCTCTCCACTCCTGCCTGGCATTCCAAGTAGAGGCGTTTTCGGTGCAGACGCTGGGACGTGTCGGAGATGGGGCTGGGGCCGCGGCGTTGACCGGCTCTCCATAAATTGGTTGAAGCGAGCAAGCGACACCAAATTGTTGTCAGAGGGGCTAGCGTCGCGCCCATCCCACCATCTTCCTGACACGGCGCTGCCTTGATGCAGAGCCCCTGCCCTTGTTAGATTCCTCTAGTGTTCGTTCGAATGACAGAGAAAAAAAAATCTATGATCTCGCTACTTATGTCATCTGTAAAACCTCCTCTTCCTCACTTCCTTCTCATTCTCCTCGATATTTCTCATTCCGGCGGTTAGCCGAAAGACAAGCAGATGGTCTTCAAACTATTATAATGTGAGAAATCTTGGTTGACCGATGCCTTGTACGACAAATTTTTCAGGAATGCGGGACCACGGACACTCCTATCACAGTCAATTACGTCGATCTCGCAGGACAGCCTGAAGCATTCGCGCTGGTCGCATCAGCAGAAGACATTTCAGACACGTCTGACTAAATTTTCCAGACCTTGTTATAAGTGTACTCGTTTCCACCTATTTGGCTCATGATCAGTGAGTGAGCAACAGTAACCCTGGAGTGCTTACCAGTCTAATTTGAACTAAAGGGAAGGAAATGTGCTGTTTTTTCAAAAATTAATTGCACTGATCGTGCTTTGGAAAATCACAGTTGTTCAGCTTTGTCCCGAGTTTCACCTTCAACACGGTCATTTTATGAGTGTTTTTCACCTCACACGGGTTTCTTTTGAATGAATTTTGAATGTACAATAAAAGTATGTTAAAAGCACGAGTATAAATAAACAGCTTTGTTGTTGTAAATTCAAATATCTCCTAGTTAATCAGCTAAATTTTTGATTTTGGAGAATCACTCTTCCGTTTATCGAACGTCTTCCCATCCGATGAGCATTCTTCGATCATACGTGGAAGATTACCTCTCATATTATGCAGTTCATTGTACCCGCCAATAAACCTAAATACTTCCAAAATGAAGTAATTACTTGATTTATCAGCATTTACCCTATTCTCTGCAGCATAAAGGGCGCAGAGGCTGATGAGGTACCGCGGTAGGCTGAAGTATCCTTTTGCGAAGTTAGGTGCTGTATCAGAAAATCCTCTTTTTGCTGAAAATTGTAGCCTCACCCACCCTTGAATCTCTCTCTCTCTCTCTCTCCCTAGGTTTGCACGAAAACCCTGACGTTCTTTACGTAACACTACTACTGCAAAAAAATTCTTTAAACAAAACCCGAGGCGATTAGCGGTGGCACATGTGTTGGTCAACGCTCAGGCACGTGGAAATTATGGCTCTTGTTGTGGGCACTTCCTATTAGGTTGGTGCATAAGTTCTTAGCCCCGACTTTTTCGTAAATATCTCAATAGCGAACCAACCTAAAGTAGAGGTATGCACCATCACCATCCACTACTCGACGCCAGCGCTCAGGCAGCTTGTCGATTCCTTTTCCAGAACGACGGGGGCTGGGACTTGAAGAAGTCGTCGAGTGCCTTTCTGACCTGATCCTTTGTTTCGAACTTTTTTCCGTCCAGAGAGCGCTGCAGGTGGCTGAACAGCCAGTAGTCAGAAGGAGCGATGTCAGGGCTGTAGGGGGCTGGGCGACCATCAGCCATCCGTACTTCTCCAGCTCGGCCTGGGTCGCCTTTGCGGTGTGAGGTCGGGCGTTGTCATGGTGGAAGTAGATTTCCGCATTCGATCCACGAGTACGGTCGACGTGATCTTTCAATTTGCGCAGCTGGGTAAGTCAATCGTCTGTCCCTTCTCCAGCAGCTCCCAGTACTCCATGCCTCTTCTGGACCACCAGGACAGGAGAACCTTTTTGGGGTGAAGGTCGGCCTTTGGGGTGGCTTCTGGCTGTTCTCCTTTGTCGACCCTGCCGCTTCCTCACAGGGTTATCGTAGAGGACCCACTTCTCATCTCCAGTGATCATCGAGTTGAGAAAGTGGAACTTCTTTTGTGAATCGTGAAGTAAAACCAGGCAGTGGCGCAGGTACATTTTGTCACAGTGGAAATTGTGCGACCCTGCAAATGCAAGGTGGGTGAGTGATAGCTAGTGTGATAAAAGAGTATAGTGCCCACGTCACGCACACGTGATGACGATATACCAACATCCATGCAAACGAAATACGGAAGGATCAAACACGTGGCTAAGAACTTATGCACCAACCTAATAGTTTTGCGCTAAATCAGGATTTTTATATTTCAGACGTCCTGATCCATTGTGACCAGATGAAAGGGAGGCACGGACGTCAGTATAGCAAATCGAAGATCGCAGAGAAGTAAACCTATCAAACATAGTTATGATCCAGAGGTGTGACGGGAGCATGGCTTGGAGCGCAACCAGATCAAATTTCCCCACACCAGTCCTACCGGGCTCAGGATGGCTTAAAGGCACATTCCGCGAAAAAATAAGGCTATGACCTCTCAAATGTGTCGGACGATCCGGAAGGCGATTTTTGAGGCTGCGCTACTTTCAAAATGTGAAAAACGGCAAGAACTCCGCTAGAAGCTGACTAATTAGGCCCATGGACACCCCTTAGGCCCATGCCGACCCTCACCGGCTGCTAGCTACTAGCTAGTAGCCACTATGTTATCTTTCTCTATAACATTTCGGACTGCTTTTTCTGCTGCTTTTCTCCGCTAATCAGATACTTAGCACTTTTTGTGCCTATTTGAGTTCCGTTTCCCACAATTTGCGGTCGCGAACTGTGCCTTTAAAGGGTGAAAAAGGGGTGCCCTCCGGGATTTCAAATTGCATGGTCCGACGTAGACACGCCCTATCGTTTATAAGGATCCATGATTAGCGGTACAGCATCGTTGTGTGAAACACATTGGGGGAGGGAGTCGTATTTGCCCGCTAGAAAGAGGGGTCCGATTTTATAGCGAACAAGGGGGGGGGGGGTCGTGTGTGCCTTTGAGAGAAATTCGCGGCGTTGGGGAAAAAATTTTTTTCCCGGATGTTAAATTTCGCAGTTTTTCCCGCTTCACGTGTGCTATTTACCTTCCTCCCCCCCGCTCTCGATGGGATTTGGAAAAACTGGGAAATGTAGGAGATTGGAAAAACTGTTAGGAAGCTGGCAACTTGTAAGAAAGTGGAAGGTAGGTTGGGGAAGGGACCGAGACCCTCCCTCGATGGAGGGGGGGGGGGGGTCGTACCGACACCACCATTCCACACATCACTATGCTGTACCCTGATCATGACTGCATGGTGACGCTTTTGAAAATACCGTTATCCTAGAAGTGCTGTGTGGTGGTTTCCCCTTATTCGAATAGGGGCCAAGTAGAGCAGAAGCTCCCATAGTTCGCACTGCAGAAATAGAGCATAATGTCTCAATGACTGAGAAGGTAGTCTTCGTTCTCAGCAGAGCTTTTCAAGGACGCGCCATGCATTCGAAATGAAGCAATCATAACAGTATGAATAGTATTCTCCAGCTTCTCTCTTCTTGCAACCTCGGCATGTTAGTAGTGAGTGTTTAATATTCTTGTGCCTTACGAGGTTGTTAGGTGGATTTATTAAAATGAATGAATAATGTCTAAATCACTGTCTTGGTGTGTCGGTCTGCGTGTTTGTCTCTCTGTCCGCAAAATGATTTGTGAATGTGATAAGAGAAATGGAAGCGGAGAACGACCCCTAGCAAAACGGGAAACCATTTAGGTATCGCAGTAACAACCCAATGAGATATTATGGTGGTGATAACATTCTCTTATGGTCAGTGTGGAAATAAGACCATCAGTTTACCTTAGCACCCACCTGTAGGAGAGCATATGCGGAGGACAGGTAAGGCTTGCGTTTATACTTTGCGGCAGCGTAGCGTAGCGCTTCCAGCGTACGCCAGCGGCAGTGTCGGGGAAAGGATAGATATCGATCTAGCGTTCCCAGCGTCACCAGCGCTTGCAGCGACGGGGCTAGAGAGTATAGAAGAGCAGGAGAGTATTTTGTACTCTCCTACTCTTCAATACTCTCTAGCCCCTCTCTAGCCCCGTCGCTGCAAGCGCTAGCGGGGCTAGAGAGTATTGAAAGTAGGAGAGTACAAAATACTCTCCTACTCTTCAATACTCTCTAGCCCCTCTCTAGCCCCGTCGCTGCAAGCGCTAGCGAAACGCTAGTGAAACGCTGGGAGCGCTAGATCGATAGCTATGCTTCCCGTGCCCTCGCTACGCTAGCGTGCGCTGGCGTAACGCTAGCGTAGGCTGCGTTTATACTTTGCGGCAGCGTAGCGTAGCGCTTCCAGCGTACGCCAGCGGCAGTGCCGAAGAAAGGATAGATATCGATAGTATAGCTAGCGTGCCGCTAGCGCACGCTGGCGTAGCGAGGGCACGGGAAGCATAGCTATCGATCTAGCTTCACCAGCGTTTCTCGAGCGTTTCTCCAGCGGCACCAGCGTTTTGCTAGCGCTTGCAGCGGCAGGGAGTAGAGACTATGTGGCCGTGAGAGACGCGGAATCGACGTGTATTGTAGAGACTATGTGGCCGTCGGAGACGCAGAAGCGATGTGTATTGTAGAGACTAAGGGCGAGTGAGAGACGCGCAATCGATGTGTTTTGTACCCTCCAGCTCTCCCATAGTCTCTACTCCCCTGCCGCTGCAAACGCTAGCAAAACGCTGGTGAAACGCTGGAGAAACGCTAGCGTGACGCTGGTGACGCTGGGAACGCTAGATCGATATGCATCCTCTCCCCGGCACTGCCGCTGGCGTACGCTGGAAGCGCTACGCTACGCTGCCGCAAAGTATAAACGCAGCCTACGCTGGTGACGCTGGGAAGTTAGATCGATACCAACAGCAGTTTTTCCTTCTAGTTTGGCTGGCATCGAAACTGATCCGAAAGATGTATGGCTCGATTCGTTTGGGTGGGTCACAACGATATTTTATAGCCAGACCAGGGCCCGGTAGCGATTTCTCGCCACTGTTACTTCTCCATCGTTCTTTTACACCTAAACTTCTGAAAAAAATACCTTCCACAAACGAATATTTGCGGCACTGTGTTGCAATGGGTTAGATTCGCAAGTCCTTGCTTAGTGGCTTTGACTGACGCTTCATCGGATAGATTCTAGAACACATTCTGTGATTTGGTTTCATTAAGGGCACAGGACACCATTGCTGGAGACGGGCGCTTGTTGCCAGCCTCATTCGTGGAACGGCGCGACAGGGTGTCTGATCACACCCCTTACGGCTCTTCCACCAATGGAGTTGGCGATGACTGTCCTCCTCCAGCCATCCTGAAGGAGCTATGTGCCTCGGAAGAGGCCACTCCAGCAGGCTGCTTGTCTGCAAACCACCGTTCGGGTAGCGTATTTAGCAGACAGCCACAGGTCCGTAAATGGCCTATTAGGCAGCGTTCATACTTGTAGCGCTACAGCGTCGCGCTACAGCGTCGCGCTACAGCGTCGCGCTACAGCGTCGCGCTACAGCGTCGCGCTACAGCGTCGCGCTACAGCGTCGCGCTACAGCGTCGCGCTACAGCGTCGCGCTACAGCGTCGCGCTACAGCGTAGCGCTACAGCGCCGCTTCGCAACGTACTGCTATTTCCAACGTTAGGATGATTAGAGTTGCTTACAGAGAAAAGTGGGAAGTTGTTCTACTTTAAAAGTTCTACTTTATCACATTTTAATGTAGTTTTTGATATAGAAGACCGTTATGATTGGTTTTATTTACCGTTTTTGACTTTAATTATTTGGTTTCAGAGTTGCTATTGATGTTTGATGGCTTTGCTTGATGCCTTGCAGTGGTGCCTCACGTTGACTCCGATGACGAAATAGTTTTTGGCATCCACGTACAGATGGCAAACCAACACACAGTATTCAGTCGCATTTGTCGGCAGCAGAAAAAAATGGCCTTATCTCCCACAACAGGCACGCGAAGACTGTCTGGTCACCAATGCGTTAACACAAGGCAACAAGAAGTTCCTTTATGGTTCTTGTGTCTCCGGTAAAAAAACATGCGTGCGTGTTTTTAGGTGGCGCGAGTACTCTTTGGGTGTTTTTTGCAGAAAATGCTCTTAATAGGACAGAAGGACACTGTTACGCTAAAAGCAGTACCAGAAAAATAGTGACTAATGGAGTAACTGTCAAGGATGGCGTCAGATAGTTACAGCTGTATCAGTCTCACCTTTCCGTGAATTTCTCAAGAAAACTCCAGCAACCTTCCCACTTTTCTCTGTAAGCAACTCTAATCATCCTAACGTTGGAAATAGCAGTACGTTGCGAAGCGGCGCTGTAGCGCGCGCGCTGTAGCGCGCGCTGTAGCGCTACAAGTATGAACGCTGCCTTAGGCAGCGTTCAGACTTCGCGACGGCAGCGCTCGGTCGCGCGTTCGACGCGATCGATGCAGTCGAAAGCATGCGCATCGATCGCGCAAACGCGCGACCGAAGCGCTGCCGTCGCGAAGTCTGAGCGCTACCTAAGTCGACGCCAAAAGATTTCAACGCCTCCATCTCCTGCACAGGAAGATGGGGCTTTTTTGCGCCATGAATAGCCTCAGCCCTGCTGGTGAGTGGCCCACAACCCTCAAGGAATTTTACCGATCAGAAACCAATAGCGATCTAGCACCGTACCCGTTCAACGAAAAATATCTCATCATCGTTAAGCTCCTTCTTCGCCCAGATACAGTAAGGACAACGATCCTTCGTATACATCACCACAGGATACTTATTGACCTGAACGAAAAACTCGATTGAGTACTTGTAGAGAATTTCCCTAATTCAGAGGACCTTATGAATTTTGAGAATTCTTCTCAGCAAAGAAAAATATACTGCAGAGCTCCACACTACTTACTCCCCACTCAAATGTGCTAATGAGATCGCACTTATGCTCAACAGAGTCCTGAGAGCCAACCACTGTCGATTTGCCAGAAAATTTGACTCCCCCGATTGGCTAGGTTGTCCTCGTGGGGTCGCTGCCGCCAATTTTCGCCTCGATGCGCGCGGCTATTACTGACTAAAAAGACGAGAGCCCTACAGCTATGCTTCTGGGAGCCTTCCCTTCACATAGCTTCAGCATCATTCCAATCTGCTTGGCACAGCCAACTATGCAATAAACTTCCGGTGAGCAGCGCCGATCACGCAGGCTGTCGGCTTGAGTGATGCACAATACACGGAGGAGTAACAGTGGTGTGATAACAGGTGTGTTATGTCAGACTGGTGAAAACAGGCTGTCAGAAACGAGATAGATGGATGAAGATATGTGGGCGCTGACGTGATGTTCAACTAAGAGTCGTGACTTCTCCCCAACCCTGATTTGAAGTATGGTACATCTTATTCTTCTCCCTAGCGTTAGTCTCGCGCCGTCGCAGGGTCCGCTGTTCTTGTTAGACGTGATACTTTTGCGACTTGTCATGATTGTTGTGACGGGTTCCTCCATCAGCCGGCCTGTCAACCTGGGCCTGACGCTGGTATCGTCCCCATTTTTGCAAGCAAGGCAGGTTTGTGCCTCGGCAGGGATCGAACTCGTGGCTCAGAGTGAGATTATGAGTCTACACTCTTAACCACTCGGCTATCCCTGCCTCTTGAAGTTTGGTATATATGGCACGATAATTTGGTACTCGGTCTAGAAGAGTAGCAGGGTGCTAGTCAGTGGGAAAATGGCGAAAAAACGAAGTGAAACGGTCAAAAACCTGCGAAGAAAAGCCTTCGCTCTTCATGACTCAGAGAGCAATTTTGGACGAGTTTCCCGTAGGCATCGTGCCAATAACCGCTACGGTAGATACGGCTGCACGTATGTACTCATATATCCATGCAGCACCGCAGCCGCTTCATATCAATCCCTTCGCTTCATATTTTACTTAGCAAATGAAGCAATACGAGCATCAGGTACGGTCGTCCATTTGTGGGCGGGCGGGCGCGGTGGGCGTCCGGGTCGGTATGTTGCAGCTTGATAGGGCCTTACAAATATACCTTCTTTGAAAAAGGCACTACGCAGCTCCCGCCAATTCCATCCTGCCAGGCGTATTAATCTTGCTCGTCTTAAGGATTTATGGTGCCAACTGTTTTTCAGAGGTGATCACCTCCAAAGAAATCTTCTGCAGCGTTTTCGAGAACGTTCAGAATTTTCGCTGACAATAATTGGAAGCATCTGTGTCTCTCGCTCTAGCCTTATCTTTGTTAGCAGTTGTCAATAAAGACATACCCCGCACTTAACCAATTCGTGGGACTTCCTTGCTTGCCCTAGTAGTCCGGTGCGTAATCGCGAACAGTTCAAAGGGAGCTTCATAAGTTGCACTTGGCAATTATGTACAGTATGCCGCGTATAATTGCAATTTATGAAGGCCACAGCGTCCTCGTCACTCATTGCAGAGCTGCGAAAGTAGGACAGTTTTGCGACTAACCACCGAACTACTTGGACTAGGAAGGAATCCTATAATTGGTTGAACACGGATCTGTATTTAAAGCCCTTCGCGCTCGAGAATGATGGTTTCTGCGGATCAGATACTAACGTAAAGATAGTAAATAACAAAAGTGAAGAGAAAAGCAGAATAACCTGCCTCAAATGCTCCATGTATACTCCTCATCATTACGGACTGTCGGGGCGGGTCAGTGCGGCTGCGTTTTCCGCGGTTCCAAAGTCTTTCTGCACCAGTTGTTGAAGCGATCAAATGACATAACAGCATTATATCCTTCGTATTACTCGTTTTCTACCACTTTTTGTCGCATACGCGTTTCAAAAAAAAGGCTGAGAACGGCTTCAAACAGTGTGCGCACTCCTACTGGCTGATACGCCCCGACAGTCCGTAATGATGAGGAGTGTAAAACAGCGCTCATACGAACAAAAGGCGAAAAAGCGGGGTCGGACGAGTCGGACGAGTTCTCACCTATTGGTATCAGTTCTTTCTCCTCATCACTTCACTCTCACCATTCGAAAAGGAGAGAGCTAGTAGTGGAAGAACCGCCGCATCACCAGAATATTTTTAGACATCAAAGTTGAGCGTTGGTCAGTGAGCAAGCTGTAGCATCATCGCGACGGGTCACGCTTTGACGGGCCTACTTTGAGGTACACTAGTACATCCTCCGTGCTTGCTGGCAGGACTACCCGGTCCAGGGATGTCGTGGGTACATCAAACGAATGCAGAGCGTGCCTTCAAGGGATGGCGAGTGAGAGAGTGTGATACGACTGACTCGCACTCACAGCAGTGAACAGAATGCTATTTTGAGTTGGTGGTGACCTAAAGTTTAATCGACTTTACTCAACGGGTTTTGTTTATCCATATGAGAACTTTATAGGTAGTCTGAAACTGTTTGGCAATAAGTTTACAAACTAGTCTCGACCATATGGTTATCCAGTTATGACCACTCGAAGCAAGATTACTATCATCCGTGACCATTAAAGGCAGTTGGCACGATGATTTGGTGCTCGGCCTAAAATGCTAGTAGGGCGCTATATAGTGGGGAAATGGCGAAAGAACGGAGTGAAACGGTCAAAATCCTGCGAAGAAAGAGCCTCCGTTCTCAATGTGTTAGAAATCAATTTTGGACGAGTTTCCTATAGGCATCTTGCCAATAACCGCTACCGAAGGTGCGGCTGCATATGTGTACTGACATCCATGCAGCATCACGGCCGCTTCATACCAATCCCTTCGCTTCATAATTTGCTTAGCAAATGAATCGATTAGAGCGTCAGGAACGGTCGTCCATTTGTGGGCGGGCGGGCGTGGCGGGCGTTTGGGTCGTAATGTTGTGGCTTGATAGGGCCTTATAAAGGGCACCTCCCTTGGAAGGCATTATGCAGCGCCTGCTCAGGATCGCGGAATTTGCTGCCAGGCGTATTAATCCTACTCGTCTTGAGGGATTTATCGTGCCAGCTGCCTTTAAAGCCACAGAGATATTTGCCAGATGGGGGGGGGGAGTAGGAGGCGTCACGTCGTCTGCCCACTCACAGCAAATGTGACGTGCACACGTGTTTTAAGAACTTGGAGAAACAAGCAGAGACAGGTGTTAACGTGAAATGGTCCCGTCGCCACCTGGCTCCTTGAGCTACACTTGCCCCAAAGTTTTGGAGAAATACGAAATAATCATGAAGAACAACCTCGTCTTGTATTGCTTTAGATTCCTTCGAGAGATTCGGAGTGGAAGAACTGCCGCCCATTGGCCTATACTAACAGAATGATGCACCACACACGTTCCTCAAGGTATACATATATCAGACCTTTGATATGGCTAACATGGTAACAACAACTTTTGAAATAATTTATTTCCTACCATTGTAATTCATATACAGTAGAATAATTTCAATGCGTTCATCTGTTGGAAATACCATTTTAGCATTAGACGAGTACAATTCGAATGGAATTAAACTAATTCAAGGATGGAATCTTATAAGAAATACTACCGCCACCGGCACAAACACTCAAGTCATGACTCACAAAAGGATAACTTTGCATCGAGCCGCATTCAACATATCACAAATATCTTAGGGAAACATATATTGTCGTTTTCGCTCCAGACGCTCGGGCGTGTCAGGGAGGGGGCTGGAACCGGCGCAGCGCCAGCCGGTTTTCCACCAATTAACTTGCCACTTGCCCGCTCCAGCAATTGGTGTAAAACGGATTGGGGCCGCGTCAAACGCGGGCCCTCTCGCTGAAAACGCCTCAGCGCCTG